CCAACCCTTATTCTCTTTGGTTGATTGATTCATTGATTTATTTTTTTAACAGCATATCAATTCCTCATGGGTCATTTAATGATTAATAACAAGAAGTAACTTTCTTGGGAGCTTTGAAGTCGAGTGATTGATTGATTTGTTTAACGGCATATCAACAGCTTATGGGTCATTAAATGACGGAATTTTATTTTCCTGGGAGCTTTGATGATAATTGATTACTTTAATTGCACATAAACTCCTTATTGGTCATTTAATACCGAAGTGAATTACGTAATGGTCCTTTTTTTTTCACAGCTGGTGCCCAACTGACCCTAATATATTGTGCAATCGACAAAATAAGACAAACAACGCGCATGCGCGAAATTGAAAATATAAAATGGCGATAAATTACTCATCTAACCCTACATATATATATATATATATATATATATATATATATATATATATATATATATGTATATATATGTGTGTTTTTTGTGTGTATATATATATATATATATATATATATATATATATATATATATATATGCTTGCATGGATCGTAGCTTGTAACCCTGGTTTTCACGCTTTAGCGATCCTCAGACAAACTGGTTTATTTTTTCAAAAGTGATCTATTTTTGCTTTATTTGTCTTTGATTATTTGTGTGTGGTGGGGGGATGACACTCACATATACATCGACACACATATGCATACAGGCGTATACATGTTTGTTCATACATACACAACCATATTCACAATCTTGGATTAAACGTAGTTACGCATTCATACGTACGAGCACACGTATTTACCTAACTTTCATTCTGTCTTTTTCGGTGTCAAAAATGTAGCGATGTTTTTTTAAGGTTTGTTTGTTTGTTTTTTTTTTTTTTTTTTTTTTTTTTTTTATTTTATTTTATTTATTTATTTATTTATTAATTAATTATCAATCGGTATCACGGTGGAGTAATGGATAGCGGCTTGGATTGAGGAATCGGAGAGCCAAGTTCGAATTCCAGTCGAATCCATTACGTTCACTTACGTGCTAATACCCTTGGGAAAGGTATGAATCCTCTTCTTCTCTCCCCCAGCTCTGGGTAAATAACAGGACAGACGGGATAAATGGCAACTGGTTTCACGCAGAAAGAAATAGCAACCTACTGCGGAAAAAAATCTGCCTCGACAGTCATGTATCGAAAGATATATGATCGCCTAAGCGTGTATCACGCATGTTACATAACTGACTGATCATCCCATACAAGTCAGTAAAGACCCTAAGACACAAGGGGTTACAGGATGTGGAAGAATTAAGAACAGAAATATTAATAATGAGCGGGAAGGGGAAAGTTTAATTGGGAGGGCAGTAGATAGCGATTGATATTGCACTTATATTTTTGAAGATTAAAGTTGACTGGAAAGCAAAGAGTTCCACAAGCGAGAAGTGTGGGAAAAGAAACTGTTATCTTATTTACGATTATATCTAGCCAAGTCAACTGTAAATTAATGAGACCAAGTCAACATCTCAACACTTCCCCATATATATCCATAAACTGTGCCTCTTACTTTGTAGCTCCCTACCTTGAATTGCTCTTGAGCCTTGTATACAGTAAACAGTGTTGTAAAAAAAACTGATCGTTGGAAACAATCCTATTCGGATTTGGCAAGCTATCCGTTTTTTTTGTCTTATATGTTACTAGCAGTAGAGTCCGGCGTTGCCCGGGGATGTAACAATAAGAGATAGATCAAGTATCGACCATCATAAAGACTGAAAAATAAAATTGATTTTTTTTTTTTACGAATTGGTCAAACCCAAATCTCAAACAAAAACATTGTTTTCAATCGTTATGAGTCTACCGATTGAATAGAATTTTATTATAAACAATTGTCTTGTAAATGGAATTTTTAAAGCATTCTGAATGTAAAAATAAAGAAAAAAGTGTGCAAGACAATAAGAAACACTACCTGTCAAAAAAAAGTGAAGTTTTGTTGAAATCGGTTGAAAAATGTAGGAAATCCGATCCCATATATAAACGAACACACACGCACACAAACAACCTGGGTTTTATAAGTATAACTCGATATGAATTGTCCCCCTTTCATTCTCGCGATGCCTCTTAATCGTATTTTCAAATTGATTTCGTGCAAAAACAATTGTGTTTTTCCAATTTTGGGCGCTGTCAGAACCACCGCAAGTTAATTTTACGTAGTCCTATGAAGTTTTGTTGAAATCGGTTGAAAAATGTAGGAAATCCGATCCAATATATAAACGTACACACACACACACACACACACACACACACACACACACACACACACACACACACACACACACACACAACCTGGGTTTTATAATAAGTATGATTCTTGTTCTGGAGAAATGTTGAACAGTCAAACAGCAACAATGTAGATTGTACAGGTTTGAACAAACACAAATGTGCCTGAGCAGGCGTCTGCAACAGGAATTAGCATGCCTTTCCTTGCAAACAGACATACCTGGATACGAGTGGTCAACCATAGTCATAATAATGGTAATGGTGATATTAGTCGTTTTCTTATAAGCAAACATTCGACATTCATTGACCGAGCAGCCAGTGCCGCTCTCCGCTGAAATTTTTGAAATCTTTCTCTTAAAACAATCTTTCAGTAAAATTGTTTTCTCAAGCCCACTGACTGTTATCGCTCTTTCCAATATTGATGAAGGTTTCCTTCCTAATTGTTGTATTCTTAAAGAGGTTACAAACAAATAAAGGTGGTACGCGAGTGAAAAGAACAGCAACACGAGCGTAGATGAAAGAAAAAGAGGTTTATTGTAAAAGAGAATACAGTACTGAAAGACAGAGAATCGGGTGGCAGGCTAGTAATTCCCGAAACAAGGATATATACCAACTGCCACACGCGGTCAGATGTGGCACAGATGCGGCCGAATTTAATGTGGGGTATCCGATCCTGTAGGCTCGGTCAAAAATTCCCCGTTTAAACCGGGTTCGGGTAGCTGTTTCCCGAGAAGAGACTCTGCTCTTCGACATAGACTCGTCTGGGGATCCTCTCTGTCCGGAGGCAGATAGTTTGACAAGCACAGCTGGAGACGAATCTCCAACTACAGGATAACTACCAACCGCTTCACGCGGTCAGATGTGGCACAGATGCGGCCGAATTTAATGTGGGGTATCCGGGCTCGTAGGCTCGGCCAAAAATTCCCCGTGTAAAACGGTTTTGGGTAGCTGTTTCCCGAGAAAATACTCTGCCCTTCGACATAGCCTTGTCTTGGGATCCTCTCTGTCCGGAGGGAGAGAGTTTGACTAGCACAGCTGAAGCTGAATTTCCGAAGGAAGCCCCTAGGTATATCCTGTGCTCACTATATATAGCCACTGATATAGTCAGTCCACATAGGCGATAGTGAATGTGGGATATTCCATTACAACACTAACCTGTTGTTTGAGCTTGTGTGGATCTTGATTATAACATTATTTTTCTCTTCCAGTTGCATGTGATATCCATTTTAACTGTTCCTCTCGTTGTAAGGCACGATTGATTTAGCTTGTTATCCGGTGTTTTCGATTGCGTAGCGCCAGTTTCATGAGGTTCGAAGAAGTGTGGTTCTCACTAATACCTACAGTTTTCATTTGCTGGAAGACATTTTAACTCACTGGTTTGAGAAAGCGGTTGCATACAACTGAATTTAGATACTTCTGAACATGTTAGGCAACATACACGACATTCATATGAAAGTCTAGATCTGGCGAGGATATTTAAGAACAGCAATCACGTGCATCGTACGTTGTGGTGCAATAGATATTGGCTCGGAATTAGAAATCAGAGGGTCGAGTTCGAATTCCAGTCGGGTTTGTTACATTCACTTGTTGACCATGTTCACCATAGTCTATGAATATAGAATACAGCGCAATGCTAATCTGTCCAATGAAACAACGTTAAAGATTAACACTCACAAGTCAGACACTCGACTGAATCTGACTATATTACCAATACCACCAGCAGCTGTTCCGTAATTCTTCAGTCTTCGATATCAAAGGCTGCCAGTGCATATTCGGGAAAAAGATGGCCGCCTTTATACACGTCGCATTGAATATTTTGAGCCTTCTGATTGGTTAACTCTTCTATTGGTGAACTATAAAATGAGTCAGCTCATTTTGGCTGGCTCACTAGTACACCAGGGTACCCAAAAATTCCAACATCACTTACGCGTAAATACCCTGAGGAAAGGTATGAATCCATTTCTTCTCCTCTCATGTATTGAGCAGCAGGACAGAATTGGTCTTATAAGCCTTAACAACCAGTCTACCGTAGAAAGTAACGACAACCTAATGCTGATATCTTCTGCCTAGTCAGTCATGTATCGAAAGAAGCATGATCGCCCGAGAGTGTGGGGCGTGTGACTGACTGAGTCAAGTTCGTAGGTTAGTGTTTTGGTCTCGTAGCATCGGACGGTGTTGGACCGAAGTATCCGTCCCGCAGACTATACTATACTAGACTATGTTCAATTTCTTAGTAATCAAACCAGAAATATCCAACCATCTCAGCCATAAGGTAGACCAAAGTGTTTTGTAACCTGAATTAATGCCTAGTTTTGCTCGGAAATATAAAATAAATCTTGTTTGTGTGTATTTTATTGTTGTAGTCAATCTATATGCATTGTTGTTTAACGACACTCAAGGGTACTCGTCTGTCTGATATTGTGTTTAACTAGACAAGCAAACAGACAATTAGAGAATATTATAATCAATTTTGTAAAATAATGAATGGAAAAATAATTGAGTCTAATTTTACTCTTCTGCAAATTCTTGGTCGCATTATTTTGACTCTTGTAGATGTAATTTTGTATTTTCTATTTCGATTCTTGTTACTTTGTTTTCATTATTTTTTTGTTTTCTTTGCGTGTTTACTGTTTACACTTCTCTTGTTTTTGCGATTATTACTTTCTTTCTATCATTCTTTCTTTCTGTCTTCATCCATTTTTTCTTTCCTTTTTATTTTCTTATTTGCGCATGTTTATGTTTCTCTCTAGTATTTACTATTCTGTACTTCTCTTTTTCTTTCTTTCTTAATTCATTGTCTTTTTTCTTTCTTTTTTTTTTCTTTCTTATTTGTTTATTTCATTGATCTTTCCTCACGTTTATCGTTCTCTCATCTTTCTTCTTTTTATTATTCTTTCTTTCTTTCTTTCTTTCTTCACCCATCTTTCTTTCATTCTTTCTTTCTTTTAGTTTGTCTTCATATTTTACTTTCCCCTTTCATTCCTTTTGTCTTTTCGCGAGTTTATCCTTCTCTCTTCTTTTTGCCATTACGTCTTTCTTTTCTCTTTCTTTATTTTCTAATGGTTATCTTTCTCTTGTTTTCACTATTATTTCTTATTTGTTTGTTTGTTTCCTTCCTTCCTTCCTTCCTTCCTTCCTTCCTTCCTTCCTTCCTTCCTTTTGACCGTTTTTCGTGTTCATTATTCTTTCTTTCTTTCTTTCTTTCTTTCTTTCTTTCTTTCTTCTCGACTGATTTTTTTATCCATTCTTTCTTTCCATCACAATTTTACTATTTTTTCATTTACTCATTCGCTGTTTTCTGACTTTCTTTTTCTCTTTCTCACACTTTTTTAGTACTTTTCATTCATTTTCTTTCTATCTTTCTTTTCAGCAATTTATCTTTCTCTTTCGTTTTTATAATTCTGTTCTTCTTTCTTCATTCATCTTTTCTTTCTGTCTGTCTGATTTGTTTATTTCTTTGCTCTTTCTTTCTTTCTTTCCTATGGCCTAATTTCATGATTATTATTCGTACCAATTTTCAATTTCTTTTTTCTCTTAGTCTTCCTTCCTTCCTCTTTTTTCCCTTTTTCCGTTCTTTCATTCTTTTTTTCTTCTTGACTGATTTTTTATTCATTCATTCATTCATTATTCGTCTCATATTTTTTTACTATTTTTCATTATTTATTTTTCTTACATTCTTTTTCACTTTGATATATTTTCTTTTTTACTTTTTTCATTCATTTTTTAAAATTTTCTCATATCTATTGTTCTCTTTTGTTTATAATAATTTTTCTTTCTTTCTTCATTCTACTTTTCTCTCTGCTTTTCTTATTTTTTTATTTCCTTGCTCTTTCTTTCTACTTGATGGGTTTTTATTCATTCATCTTTTTTTTCCCTTACATTCTTAATATTTTTTATTTATTCATTCATTAGTTTTCTAACTTTATTTTTCTCTTTCTTACTCTGTTTTTTTCACTATTTTTTTTATTCATTCATTTTTCTTTCTTTCTTTCATTCCCACGATACAATATTTATGTACGTAATTAAAATGGAAATCTTGAAAATAATAATTATGTTACAAGTCTTGTCATAAAAAAAAAAATTTAAAAAAAATAATTTGCAACATTATTTGCACTTTCAAACCGCGGCAGATCAGGTCAGGGTTAGTCATTCATCGTTCAAATGCGTCTGGACAAATAAAGTAGCAGAAATTCAACCTGAGAGTTTAACAAATTACATGTATTCTATTCCTACTGACAAGCACTAAAAGAAGGAAAAAAAAAAGATATAGTTTTTTGCTTCTCGAAATTTAGATTAAAAAGGCACTTTCCCAGAAACTTTCCCAAATATTTTTATGGCAGTTGTTTTGATGGGTTTTTTTCTCTGGTGCCTCTACTTTACGAATTTAAGCGCAGTACTAGATTGACAGTTAGGTCTCTTAATTTTACTGCTGAAATTGCTAGAAATAACTGTAACTTCAATATGCTATCAGTTTCTTCACTCGCAGTTCTCGCTTGGGGAATCCTCTGTCACCTTTTTGCTTTCCTATCAACTAGCATTGTTATATTCCTTTTTCTTTTTATGGGCCGTGTCCCATTAGGACGTAGGTGATCATGGCCCTCTACCTCATCCTGTCAATTGTAGTTCTAAATAAGTTTTTTTTCCTTTTGTTCTGTTCCACTTGCTCAAACATATTAAGTATATCACACGTATCTTTCCCCTGCCTGACTTTCCCTCTATCCGTCCTGTGTGTATCAGATTTTCCAATCCCTCCTCATGACGTTTTTCCCAGAAATTTCAGCTGCCTCTTCCTGATGTTAAGTTTATATTTCCTCTTTGTTCACGTCAAAACCTATTCGTTGCTCACATGTTCGGCCCCTCCTTGCATCCTTCAGTTCTGTTGCTTCGAGTGTCTGTTGCTTCATCTTTGAGGAGGTCGTTCTGCATATGCTGCCATACAAGAGGACAGATATCACGTAACATTTCAGTACTCTTTTTTTTTTTTTGGTTATTTTTTACGGCCATGTTCCACATCCTGCGTTATGGAGACGATAAGGTAAATAACCTCTTTTCTTTGTTTTCAACAAAACTTTTCTGTCTCTTAGTACTCTGCTTAGCTTTTGGATTGCACATTTGTCCATCCCAATATGTCTTCGAATCTCAATGTCGCATTTTCTGTTCCCAGATAATTACATTTCTCTACCTGTTTGATTTGAGTGTCCCCGACCTGTAAATTGCATTTTGGGCTCATTTTTTGCTGATGACCATGCATTCTCTCTTCTTGTAATTTATGGTTAGTCCTTTCTTCTCGCTTTCCTTTGATGCCTTCTGTAGGATGTTTTGTAGTGTTCTTTTCGTGTCTGCTATCAACACTGTGTCATCTACATATCTTGTTTGCAAGATTGTGACCCCTAATGATGAATCCTGGTAGGATTTTCAGATTTATCAGAATTGTATAGGTTGAATAAGTCCGGTGAGAAGACACATCCTTGCCTTACACCATTTTCTATTTTTGTATATCTGCTGAACTCATTTTTTATCCGTAGGTGGTTTGCTGCCGGTAGAATTTTTTTTATTATTCTAATGTCTTTCCCAAATATGTCAAAGTTGCTGAGCAGCTTTAACAAATCTTTTTGGCTTACCTTGTCGAACGGCTTTGTATAGTCTATAAAACAAAGGTACAGGTTATTCTGTATTTGTATTGCTCTTTTTGATAACATTCTGAGCGTAAATATCACGTTCCTTGTTCCTGTGCATTTAACAAACCCGCACTGTTCTTATCCTATCTCTGGCCTGTTTCTACTGAGCACACTAGTCATTAGAATGAGGAGTTTTGTTATGTGGCTCATTAGGCTGATTGTTTAGTTTTAGTTCCCATTCATTTGCACCTGGTTTCTTAGGCAGTGCTATGAAAATAGATCTGCTTAGGTCTTCCAGTATATCACTACTATTGTAGACTTCATTTATTATTTCTGCAATCATGTCTCTGCCGAAATCATTTAAGGCTGTCAGTATTTCTGTTAAATTTCTGTCTGGCCCTGTCGCTTTGTTTCTGTCCAACTTGGCCAGTGCAGTTTTCACTTCGGTTTTTAATATTTCCGGTCCTTGGTATTTCTGTATATCGCCGGTTGTTCTCTTTCGTCGTGGAAGGGATCTCCGATATATACGTTCCAGCGCTGAATTTTTTTTCTTTCTCTAATATTAGCGTTCCGTCCTTGGATTTTACGCAGCCTGTTGATCAGCATGTCTTCTGTCCCGTTAGTTCCCTTAATTTTTATGTATGTCTCCTTTATCTGTGATACTACTACGCTTTATTTCTGGACATTTTTCGTTGAGTCATTCTTCTTTAGCTTGCCTGCATTTGGTCCTTATTTCATTGTGTAGTTTTCTGTATTTTGTTACATGTCTTGACATTATTTGCTGTCTCCTTTGCATCATACCAAGAATCTCATCTGTGATCCATTCGTTTTTTTTTTATTTAGGGTGATGTCGTTTGCTGATGTCACTAAAGATTCTAGAATTGTTATAATAGCATCAATAATTATGATGATGATTGTAAGTGTTATGGTCCAGGTTAGGACCAAGGAAGAACAACACGAACACAAGAGTAGAAATAACGAAATAATAATACAAGATGTGTTAGTATGACTGTCAGTCTGGTTTGGAGTGAACTACTATCGGCTCAACTCGATTCGGTATCTAGCCCCCCCCCCGAGGGTTGCATATGGCACAAGGCCGAGTTTAACGTGGGTTTCCCGAGCCCGTAGGCTCGGCCAAAAAATGCCCGTAGAACCCGTATAAACGGGATCGGGTTGGTTAACCTCCCCGAACGAGACTCTGCCCTTCGGCGGAGCCTCGTCCGGGTTCCTCTCTGCTCAGAGGCAGAGAGTTCGATCGTCAAGCCGAGAAGCTCGGCTCGATTCGGTATCTAGCCACCCCACTACGAGAGTTGTATGTGGCACAAGGCCGAGTTTTACGTGGGTCTCCCGAGCCCGTAGGCTCGGCCAAAAAATGCCCGTAGAACGCGTATAAACGGGATCGGGTTGGTTAACCTCCCCGAACAAGGTTCTACCCTTCGGCTGAGTCTCGTCCGGGTTCCTCTCTGCTCAGAGACAGAGAGTTCGACCGTCAAGACTAGCTTCTCTGCTTGATTCGTCCCTCTCTCTTGAGAGGCGTAGCATATATAGTGTTAGGAAGAGTTCATTCTCTAGTTATAGGTAAGGACCCATGACAGTAATCACTTCCGGTCCCACTAGAAAATGCTGGGATCAAGACGGATCCAGCAGGCATTTTTAATGAATGAGTTTTTATTAACTTTACCATGTGTCGTCTTGCCTTTGTCTTGTTTCGACTTTTCAGTAGCCAGTCCCATACATCTTTCCACCTTAGGCCCAGTAGAACAAGCATCTTTAAAATTTTGAATGCAACGTCAATCAGGGCCGGTCGGTATTACCCCTGACCCCCGAACCCCCAAACCCACGACCGGGGTGCTCACGCCTGATTGGGGGAACCAGGCAGTGCTCTGTGGCTTTTGATATCTTATCAACGTTTGCTTTTTTCTATGCATATTTATATAAGGTACAAATTAAAATAAGCACAACTGACTATTCATTATAGTTAATTGATCGTTCCTTTTTGTAAATTCTATTCATTACGGATAGAATTTACAAAAAGGAACGATCAATTAGCTTATCTTCATACCCTGCTGGTGGCGCCAGGGGTGGCGGTTCCGCCATAGCCACCGAAACCGTGATATTACCCCTGGTCGGCGGCAGATGAAGACAGAGTATCGCAAGTGCGACCACACACGTTGTATGTTAAAAAAAATATTAAAGGATGAAAAATTTTCGCAGATTTTGACGTCATTCTGGGAACTTTCTTTTTCGCCCAGTTCCATGAATTTGTTTCGCTCATGCTAAGTCTCGAAAAAACACTCGATAAAATTCACTATTTTTGTATTCATAAAGTTGAATCGGTTAAAATTATTCTAGGTTTTAACAAGAAAAATTTCAAGTTGGTGTTAAAAAATGCCGCAAAACAATGCTGTTTTGTTTAAGATGGAATGATCTATTATGACATATCTCTAATTTCTATTTAGATATATTGTATTTCTTTTCAATTTTTCTAGTTAAATTGTTCACCTATATTCCATATGATCCATTATTATACATAATTAGGTTACAATAGAATTTGTATTTTATATGAATACTACCTTATTGTTGTAGCATACCTACAGACGATAATGGGTATGTCTCCATCCACATAAATACAGTAGTAAATACTGTATATTGGTCTGCATTTGGAAATTCATTCTGGAATTCACTTGACTCACTTCTAGCAGTTGACTACTTCTTCTATGCGCTGCTGGCGAATCTTATATGTGTTGCTCTTGTCCTAAGTATTATCATTCATTATCAACCTTTGTTTGATTATTCTATTCAGTAACCTTCCCTAGATTACAACACTTATGCAAACTGAGATGTAAAAGATTGGTGGTCCCAGTATCATAGATTCTCTGTATCATGCATTCAAGGCGGGGCTCGAATCATTGAATTTCTTTGTTTACTGTCGTCTCTATTCAATAAAGTCTTATCACTCTTTCACTTCCAGTAACCTCTTGAGTCTGAGAGGCTTTTTCACCTTGCTTGGTTTGAAATGATTAAAACAATTGAAACAAATTTTTATTTTTATCAAGATTTTAGCTTACATTAATTACACTCGAACCTGTCCTTATCTTTCTTGCTATTATCACAAATATTCAGACCTTATGCCTGCCCTTCGGCCATCAACATGTGTCTATTGAGCCGAGTAACGTTCGGGTAATTTTGAACTAAAACAATCTACCACCATAGATTCAATAATCTATAGGAAAAATTGTTTGATAGATTGTGTGAGATATCTCGTCTAG